TGCGTCGGCGTGCGTGCGTGCGTGCGTGCCGTATATGCTATATGTAGTGACAGGTGCAACATTACCTTATAGTATCGCATGCAGGCTTATGACTTAGCTGTTCTTCTATAACAATATAGTACATACCTATAGTAGAATATGTAAGACGATAGAGAAACATCTGTGTTATTACCCGTGTCAGGGCCATCTTCCTAACAATTGTTTGCTTGTATAATCAGCCTGAAGCCTGAGAGAGCAGGAGAACGCGCCCTGATTCCACTGTCATTTTGTAACGTGATCCTAGTGACGCGCAAAATGGCGCATTCAACTCCTGCTGGAAGCTATTTTTCCGTCCTCACGGGTAAGAGAAATGATTATATGAATTTGATAGAAAAGGATGATACATTTTTTTGTGAACAGACACTACGGTCGCATGTTTCGCGTTCATATGCGCTTTACGAGCGCGATACGTTTACCGGCGTACAATGTAGGCGAAGGAAAACAGATCAAGTGTCTATAGATGATTGCCGTAATCAGGGTTCGTAGCGGGTTTTCCAAAGTCTTATAAGTACTTATTTTGCCAAAAAATAAAATAAGGGCCCTTATTAGTACTTATTTTTGGTGAAATCTTAGAAAAGTAACTTAATAGTCCTTATTTTTCAACTTACTGTTCTCGATTTAGATGTGAAGATTCATTGTATATATAATATCGGAATAATTAAATCTGCGGTGCAATGTGGTTATATAAATATTATTAGTGTACTTTAATAGTCGTGATCTATCAGAAATCGCGTAAAAAGTCTTAATTTTGGCCTCCAGAAAGGGTCTTATACGTCCTTATTTCAACATTTGTCTTACTACTATGAACCCTGGTAATTATCCCGCCCAATCACGTGCATGAACACACTTTCGGTGTGGTGTAATCCACTGATCTCTATTATACTAACTCTGGGCTATCTCTGGAACTCTGGGCTATGGAACTCTGGAAGTATGGAACTATGGACTCTTGAACGCTGGGCTAACTCTGGGCTATCTCTATTATAGTTAGTATAATAGAGATCAGTGTGTGTAATCCGAGAGCCCCAGTTGCCACCGCAGGTGGCGCTTCTTTCGATACTTCTCAACACTACACAACACTCATCACCACAGAAAATTAGAATAGAGCTATAGAAGGCGTCTATTCTATTTCTGCTGCTCATCACCTATCACGAACGCCGTCAGGTAGTTCTGAACGGCAACGGACATTCTGCACACACAAAATTCTTACCGAATTTTTTTGCATTGCATGAGTCGCAGCGTGGCGCACGCACGCACATATATAGGCCATGTTTTTATTTACAGAATTAAAAAGGAATAGATTGACATAAATAGCAGGGTAAAGAACATAACTAAAGGGGCCCTGTTTAAGGTGTAGGAAATATACCCTCATTAGAGTTAAATGGTATTAGTTACATTAACATTAGTTTAATAATTCATAAATTTTAATTATTTTGTGAAGATTAAAGAGATTGAAGAAAAAAGTGAGGAGGGTGGAAGGTAAAAGAGATAATGCCTCACTGTCGAAAGTCCAGAAGAAATGTGATATCAATAGAAAGGACAGGAGGTACTGCAGTGTGATAGCAGAGAGTCAGCGGTGAAAGAAATGTGCAAATCCATGCATGTTATTGAGTCATAAGAATGTTTAGCTGACGAATATACACACTACACCAGTAGTTAACAGCTTAACTATTTACTTCAGGATTCAAGTGAAACATTATATCAACGAAAATCCATTTCTGTTTTCGTCAGCATAGAAGACCATTCTGCTTTTTAGATCACGTTTTTTAAGAAACTAATTTCCAAAGATGCTTTCATATTTCTCGATCTTCCATATCCCAACTATTTCATAAAAAAGTAACTACTATTCAAATGATTTGCACAATTTAAAAAGAAAAACGCCAAAATCTTTGCTTGCTATATATTACATTAATTGATAATATAATAGCCATGTGAGTTGTAAATATCAGGAGTAAATAATCACAAATTTGTTCTTATTTACTGTAAATATGCAATAAATACCTTCACAAACCGTACATATGACACTCTCCAGTTTTAACAATTTCATGACACAATTTGAATTACACTGAACATGTTGGTTACCTACATTATACTGAAAAGCTAAACACAACAGCTTAAAGACCCATCTTTTCTACTGATAAAATACCCTATGCATTTAGTTTTGTTACGTAGAAAGTAATATGCATGAAGTAGGGAAGTTAGGTACTTTTCGAAATACAATGTAATTACATGATAACAACCGAATATGTACACACCGAATGGGAATTACAATTTTTTAGCCACGCCTGTTAAGTAAACAAGATGATAAAGGCTGCAGCAGTTAAGACAATTCATTTTTACATGTTACTGGAGACTGAGCTATTACTTTCAGAAAAAAACTGACAAGACTATACGACGAGAAAACAAGCCCCAACACTGTCCATGCTCACAGCTTGCATCTCATTATAGAATTAATATTATAATATAATCTACAAGGAATTTCCTGTTATTACAGTGCAGCTTACACAACTGCTATTTCCATGTTAAGATCACTACATCTTGACTGAAACCTCATTTCTGACTCTGCCCAACTAAACCTCACTCTTTGCCTAACTCTTAGTCCCAGGCAAACCATCATTCTCTGCACAACTCTCCTACCATGTCCAACCATTCCTCTCTGCCAAAATCTCACTCCTAGCCCATGCTCACATCCCATACAACAATCTCCCCAAACCTCCAAACCCTGCATGCACATCAGGTCTCGTAGTTCTCTCATGCCAGTCCAGTCCACACTCTACCAATACCTTGATCCTTACCTTGAATCTGCAAAACCCTCAATCTCCATACAAACCTTGCTCACTGTTCTTACCTCTATACCTACTAAAACTGTACTCCATTCATTTGCCTTACTCCCTGGACATCCATTGTACTACCCCATTTATGTTAAGTACTCTTGGTTCATACTTTAATCGCTGTCCATACATCTCTCCCACAGATAATTCACTTCAAACTTAAACTTTGTTCACTGTTTTTGTCATTTCCAAACCACACCTTGATTGCAACCCTAACCTTGCTTCCAATCCAAATCTTGTCCAGTGTCCTTACCTCACTCCCCACCCAAGCACTGCTGCTCACTGCCTAAAATGTCGCGTCTTACCCAAACCGATCTCTACTACTCAAGCTTCGCTTTCTATTGCCTGAATACCATCTTGCTCATCCAAAATTGGAACAATAAGATTATCTTTTGACATCAAATTGTACTTTGTCACAAATGCAGTGAATCTTTTGCACAGAGCAGTCTCATTCTGAAAATAAACAGACCAACATTTCCTTCATAGGCTGTCGGGTTTTCTATCAAAATAGTGAATAGACAAAATATTAAACAATGGAAAAAGTGATTAAAAGTGTCCCATGCATTTTGATATTTGAATTTCATACACATTTACTTTAGCAATAAAACATGGCAAGCCCTGTCCACACACTTTATTGCAGAAACCTTTAATATCCCTTACCTCAAACTCATCAAACAGCGTTCGATGGTGGAAGTAGGCGTGCGAGAATATCCTATACACACGCCTGCACACAGAACCCAGCTTTGCTACTGATGACTCCTTTATACTGACCCTGCAAGCACATTAGAATTGTGTGTAATGCTTTCCTTCACAGAGAACACGGGTGTGAGCACAGTTCTATGTGCCATTACCCAGTGTGCGGAAATACTTCCTTGCCTTCTACTGATCACAATGATTTTTCTTATCCTTGATTCGTCGAAAAGCAATAGACAGTTGGGCAAATGATTTGTATCATGACTTTACTTCATGACCGCTGCACAACCATGTACGCGTGTGGTATGTGCGCAAATTATATGTAAACAACATCAAACTTTAATTGCAGTTATATTGTTCTCTTAGGAGAACCCTGCTATTTCTAGCTTTACTCAAACGAATATTAACTGATTGCAAATAACATGATAGGTAAAGTTTGACAATTATGGTTGGTCACCAACATCTTGTACACAGCCATGCTGTCACATGACTAGAATCACTGTCATCAGACAGAACCCACACAACTATATTAAAGCAAAAATAATGGTATCACATCCACACTGTTGCAATTACTAGAATAACAGATATCTTGTGTCCTCATAATATAAGTACATACCCTTACCGCCAAAGTCATATTTGGTTGCCCAATTTTATAACATTCAATGGTTTGGTTTGTAAAGTAACCAGCATTGAAATCGGACAAACTAATATGATATTGGCGGCAAAGAAATACTTTATCATTGCTACAACTGTATTAGTTATTTTATTAATTGTTAACACTGCGGAACAGATACCCATATACTTGCTTGAAGCATACGAAAATCTACAGTTACACTATTAATTATTAACATCCAAAAATGTGTTACGTAAATATTTTCGTAAAGGTTTTCTTTTTACGAAGAAAAATATTCTTCGTATTTTACGTATATATATAAAAATATATACGTAAAACCTGTTCCTGAACTTAGACTTATATGAATTATTTTTAGTTATGAACAACAAGTTTTTGGATACTAACAGAAAGCAACATTTCTCACCTGCTTGGAAAATATTTGTTACTGTTGAGAAGACAGGCTGCTCCATCTAAGGTGTGTCTCGTGTAATCAATTGCAGGACACTAGTTAATAAACATAGGAACCATCATGTTTAGACTCATGCCAAGAATAACTTGGATATATAATGACACAGTATATTTGACTGTGCAACTTAACAGATCAAAAATGCTCCACGATTTTTGTTATTAAAATGCAACCAAACAATTTCAACAACTAGAAAATATCTAATAGGTAGACTATCTCTGTCAGTAAAGTTTTTACATTGCAGGGGTAGAAATTAACCTTTGAACAAGCAAGTCCAACGGACTCCCTGCCCTCAAAAAGAGGGAGTCCGCAGTCTGACGTTCAAAACTAAAGATATTAACAATAACGTATGTGCTTATTTTGAAGATTCATGCGGTTGCACGTCTGCCAAATTTTCTTTGGACATTTGCTGAGAAAATACGGTAATTCCGCGAGGCCGTGCTCTGGAACGAACTAGTTAGTATAGCAGAATTTTCAGGGAGTCACACGGACTCCTGCATATGTCAAAGCAGCGAGTCCGACAGTAAATCAGGGAGTATTTGACTGCGGACTCGCGTTAATTTCGCACCCTGCATTGCCAGATTAGTTAAATAAGTTCAACCTTAATTAGTTTTCAATCTGAACATGTGTAATTAACAATACAATGAAATTAGTCTCCATTTATCAGATATTGCTGCACACTGTGTAAAACACGTTTTAAAACATGTCATAACCTTTTCTACCAATTACCTCTTTTGGCGTCTTGTGTGCAGCACAGAGAAAGATCCATTGCTCGGTCGCAGTCATCTGTGTGCAGGTTTCAGGCTGGCATTCTCCCTGCTACAAAATTAAATTCAAACACAATACACAGTGCGGGCCAACAGTTGGAACAAATAACTGACTCTTCTTATAATGAAAGTGTCAATGACACTGTAGCTCACCTTGGGTGTGATAGAAGAGGGAGGGGGGGGGGATATATAAAGCAAGAGTATATATGGGAGAACTACCATTATATAGCATATCTCCCATTATATACTCTTGATAATGATGATATATGAGTAATTTTTGATGAGAAAATAAATGTTTCAGATCTGTTGGCATACAATCTGATGGCGTTGACTGCAGGCAGACACTGAAAGGCATAGTGAAATTGCCAAAATCTACCTAATTTGCATAATTTAAAAAAATATAAAAACCCGTGTGATATGTTTTGGGGCCAGTCCTTAGTCATTCACATACCAGAATTGAGCAAAATCCGTTGAACCTGAACTGACTTATGACCATTTCCATTTTTGCCAAAAAGTGGACGTCGCTCGAAAATAGGTCGACTGGCGTGCTCCAAAATAGGACGTTCAAACCTCTCCCATACAACTATATGCAATTTGAAACATGTGGGTTCCTGAGTTATCGTTGACCGTAGCCAAATGTTGACGGACGGACGGACGGACGTACGACGGACGACACCCCATGGCAATAGCTCATCTTGACGATGTCAAGGTGAGCTAAAAATCTGGATACATGACTGTTCATAATTACTTATTACTCAAGACTTTGAAACAGTAAATATTCCTACATAGCATAGATGTCACATTTAAATAAAGCAGTGGTTATGAATAACTCCATAGTTTGCAGGAATAAATGTAAAATGCACAAATGAAAATTTGAAATAACGAGAAGTTAAAATGCCTTTCCTTCTCGAACAATTTAGATACCAAATCAATCACACAAGAAAATAAATCATTTGCTATAAATAGCCTTTTCTTACTTGCAGTTTGACAGCTATGCCGTTAAGCTCGAGACAAAACTGTCGCAAATGTTCGTACTTCCAGACTCCTTCATCTTGCCCTTCTGGAGGTGTCAGTATCTCATCTATATTTGTTGGATCCTTTCTTATTGTTTGCTGTATAAACTGAAATTAATGCATCAAATATCTAGACTTAGCTGTTTACCAAGCATTTTGCAAAAATATAATGGGGATTAAAGGAATAATTTCAACCATAAGTGCACAATCGAGAAAAATATAGTGAAATATAGTTTCACCCAATAGCCAACCATGTCACTGACTACTTCACTATAAAAATTACCATGGATTGGTATGGTATGGTTATGGTATATCAAAATTGCAAGTAATGCAGCCACATTCTTTCATATAGCGACAATTTCCTGAAATCGGCAACCACGAGACAAAAGTGCATCTCATTGGGTGACGTAGTGGTTCTAGACTGGTGCAACATCTCTATTGGTTAATAAAATAATTCAAGGTAACATGTAAAGCTATAGGCACAGGGTCTAGCGAGTAACAGGTGGCATCATCAACACGATGTAAACAAACAGATTTTAATCGGCGTATATTTTGTGAAAATAGTGATGTATGAGTGTTCTGTGGCATGTTAGCCTTAATTTAGACACTTGCTGTTTTACAAGCAATAGCACTAAGTATGGCAGTGGTCAGAAAAATACGAGAACAGTCTTGAACACACTTTGAAATTATTACTTCAAATTAAAGTATTTTTACACTACATGTATATAATAAATATTATCTAATGATACAAAATACCTGTTGAACAGCCAATGTGCTATCCATTTCCTCAAATGGTTCTTCAGGCCATTTGCAAAAGTCCTGCAAAAGACGAAAATATAGAAAAATTCAGTTGGCTAGAAAGCTGTCTATACAATATTATAAATTGTGTAATCTAAGCAAACTGTGTAAAAAGAGAAAGTGGTACTATGTAACAAAGGCACGGGAAAAATGGTTGTTAGTACTATGGCAATAAGGAGGCATTCAACCACACCCACTGCAGAGCTAACATGGTAGCCATTTTATTTAGAAATTGTCAAATTCCATTAAGTATACAATAAGGTAATTAACTGCATTAAAAATTTTAACTCTTAATTATACTATGGTTAGTAATTATTCTCTTCTTGTTTGTTTGTTTGTTTGTTCGACTCAGGGCTCGAAATTAAGGGCGGCAAGTAGCAGTTTTGCTGCCTGCTCCCAATGCCTCCAGCAAATTCTTGCTGCCAAGAAAATCTTAATAACCAAAGTAAAAGCACCAAAGATTCTGTCTAGGTGAGTAAATTTGCTGTAGACCTGCCCTTTGCTTCGGAATGCAGCATGTACTCACTTGCCTGTCAAAACAAGTTCATTTAAAATCTTGGTTTAAAGGCATACTAGGCCCATTGATTATGCAATGTTGACGAATGCTAGAGTAACTGGCACCTTGTGTAGTTAATAAGTACATAACCTTATAGCCAAACGCGTATTAGTTTGTCCAATATCACTGCTGGTTACATTACAAGCAAGACATAAAATCGGTTGCTGATATTCATTTACGTGCCGTAAATGTCATCCAGGAGTCAAGCGATGACGTAAACATTTGTGTGCGATGTAATAAACACGGCCACGGACTAAACATGGAAATGGAGTAAAACACGTACTAATCACGGACGCACATGGACAGCCCTGACAAAAAGTTCCTTATCACGAGCGTTCGTGTTTATGAAATCAATGATGATAGCATTGCGTACTGCCGAGCATGCGTGCGGAAATGTCCGGTGCAGTATAAATCTGTATCACACCCACTTCGCCGGCAGCGGTTTGAAACTGTAAACAACTGATTTCTTGGACTGCAGATTTCAACTAGACATTTCTTAGTAACCAGCAGTGATGTTGGACAAACTAATACGCGTTTGAATGTAAGCTTATGTACTTATTAACTACACAAGGTGCCAGTAACTCTAGCATTCGTCAACATTGCATAATCAATGGGCCTAGTATGCCTTTTGATATTCATTTTTAGTGAATATATAAGTGTACAAAAGATGTCGCAAAATCTGGACGAGTATTCATAGTCTAATTATTATAATTGTAAAGGTAGAGTGCAGGCTTTCAGATTTGAAAAGTACAGGAGGACTACTAATGACGCCCCTAGAACACCATAGGGGGACTTTTCACGCTCCATAATCACACCCTTAAGAGGCATGATGGGGAGCTCCATTAAAAAATCACACCCTTAAGAGGCATGATGGAGAGTATACTTTCGGTTGAGCTACACAACCACAACTATGAAACCGTTAGTCCTGAGGAAGCTAGCAACCAGCCATTTTTAAGTGTAGTAAATGTCTACCAATAAGCCCTAGCTGTGCTGTGCTGTAGCTGTGCTGGTTGAGTTTTCTACCCCTACGGTAGCCGGGTTGGTTCAGACCGAACGGAACGAAGGATGTGATTAATTATTTACTTAACTTTCTCTTTTTCGTCTACATATTTTTTGCTACTTGGGGATTTCTAGACACTTTTACTTCATTAATTACTTTCTATACTAGTTCCTTTCTATTCCCTTATATTATATCCCCTGTTTGTCATTTTCCTTTATTCCACAACCACCAAGTAACATAATGCACATTTGTAACAGCAGGTGGTGTGTGGGCAGCGCCACCACCACAATCTCACGGGTGCCGCACTTTGCGCCACAGCTGTTAATATGTATGCAGAGGGACGCCATCAGTGATAGCCGCCGCCGGTGCGTTAGTGCGTGCACCACCACTATTGCGCTACCGCAATAGCCGAAATAGGATTAAAGTTGTCCCAGATCGCTGATGTCTTGATGATCAGATCCACTGCTTCCCGCAGTAACCACTCGGAACCATTGATAGGAACTGGAGGACCCGAACATTGTCAAACGGAACGCATTAGTGGAACTGAAAAGCTTCCAGTCATCAAAAACAACGCAAATACAACGCGAAGGGATTCTGCTATTGCGCCGCAATCACATCATAGAGCGGGTGCTAGGCAGAGGGCAAAACGCTGGTTTCATTAAACCTTCCATGAGTTAAACACAGTTGTAACAGCAAAGTAAGCGCTGTTATGCTCCCAGTATTTTTTCTATACTTATACAGTAGTTATACACCACCTGCGACTCATGCAATGCAAAAAAAATTCGGATAAGAATTTTGTGTGTGCAGAATGTCCTTTGCCGTTCAGAACTACCTGACGGCGTTCGTGATAGGTGATGAGCACAGAAATAGAATAGAAGCTAATCTAGAATTCTAATTCTGTGGTGATGAGTAGTGTAGTGTTGAGAAGTATCGAAAGAAGCGCCACCTGCCGGGTGGCAACTGGGGCTCTCGGGATTACACCACTGATCTCTATTATACTAACTATAATAGAGATAGCCCAGAGTTAGCCCAGCGTTCAAGAGTTCCATAGTTCCATACTTCCAGAGTTCCAGAGATAGCCCAGAGTTAGTATAATAGAGATCAGTGGATTACACCACACCGAAAGTGTGTTCATGCACGTGATTGGGCGGGAAATTACGGCAATCATCTATAGACACTTGATCTGTTTTCTTCGCTACATTGTACGCGGTAAACGTATCGCGCTCGTAAAGGCAATATGAACGCGAAAAATGCGACGGTAGTGTCTGTTCACCAAAAAATGTATCATACCTTTTCTATCAAATTCATATAATCATTTCTCTTACCCGTGAGGACGGAAAAATAGCTTCCACGCAGGAGTTGAATGCGCCATTTTGCGCGTCACTAGGATCACGTTACAAAATGACAGTGGAATCAGGGCGCGTTCTCTGCTCTCTCTGGCTTCAGGCTGATTATACAAGCAAACAATTGTGGGAAGATGGCCCTGGGACACGGGTAATAACACAGATGTTTCTCTATCGTCTTACATATTCTACTATAGGTATGTATATGTGTATAGAAGAACAGCTAATCATACCTGCAGGATACTATAAGGTATGTTGCACCTGTCACTACTGTCTACATATATGCATATACGCACGCACGCACGCACGCACGCACGCACGCACGCACATATATAGGCCATGTTTTTATTTACAGAATTAAAAAGGAATAGATTGACATAAATAGCAGGGTAAAGAACATAACTAAAGGGGCCCTGTTTAAGGTGTAGGAAATATACCCTCATTAGAGTTAAATGTTATTAGTTACATTTACATTAGTTTAATAATTCATGAATTTTAATTATTTTGTGAAGATTAAAGAGATTGAAGAAAAAAGTGAGGAGGGTGGAAGGTAAAAGAGATAATGCCTCACTGTCGAAAGTCCAAAGAGGAAATGTGATATCAATAGAAAGGACAGGAGGTACTGCAGTGTGATAGCAGAGAGTCAGCGGTGAAAGAAATGTGCAAATCCATGCATGTTATTGAGTCATAAGAATGTTTAGCTGACGAATATACACACTACACCAGTAGTTAACAGCTTAACTATTTACTTCAGGATTCAAGTGAAACATTATATCAACGAAAATCCATTTCTGTTTTCGTCAGCATAGAAGACCATTCTGCTTTTTAGATCACGTTTTTTAAGAAACTAATTTCCAAAGATGCTTTCATATTTCTCGATCTTCCATATCACAACTATTTCATAAAAAAGTAACTACTATTCAAATGATTTGCACAATTTAAAAAGAAAAACGCCAAAATCTTTGCTTGCTATATATTACATTAATTGATAATATAATAGCCATGTGAGTTGTAAATATCAGGAGTAAATAATCACAAATTTGTTCTTATTTACTGTAAATATGCAATAAATACCTTCACAAACCGTACATATGACACTCTCCAGTTTTAACAATTTCATGACACAATTTGAATTACACTGAACATGTTGGTTACCTACATTATACTGAAAAGCTAAACACAACAGCTTAAAGACCCATCTTTTCTACTGATAAAATACCCTATGCATTTAGTTTTGTTACGTAGAAAGTAATATGCATGAAGTAGGGAAGTTAGGTACTTTTCGAAATACAATGTAATTACATGATAACAACCGAATATGTACACACCGAATGGGAATTACAATTTTTTAGCCACGCCTGTTAAGTAAACAAGATGATAAAGGCTGCAGCAGTTAAGACAATTCATTTTTACATGTTACTGGAGACTGAGCTATTACTTTCAGAAAAAAACTGACAAGACTATACGACGAGAAAACAAGCCCCAACACTGTCCATGCTCACAGCTTGCATCTCATTATAGAATTAATATTATAATATAATCTACAAGGAATTTCCTGTTATTACAGTGCAGCTTACACAACTGCTATTTCCATGTTAAGATCACTACATCTTGACTGAAACCTCATTTCTGACTCTGCCCAACTAAACCTCACTCTTTGCCTAACTCTTAGTCCCAGGCAAACCATCATTCTCTGCACAACTCTCCTACCATGTCCAACCATTCCTCTCTGCCAAAATCTCACTCCTAGCCCATGCTCACATCCCATACAACAATCTCCCCAAACCTCCAAACCCTGCATGCACATCAGGTCTCGTAGTTCTCTCATGCCAGTCCAGTCCACACTCTACCAATACCTTGATCCTTACCTTGAATCTGCAAAACCCTCAATCTCCATACAAACCTTGCTCACTGTTCTTACCTCTATACCTACTAAAACTGTACTCCATTCATTTGCCTTACTCCCTGGACATCCATTGTACTACCCCATTTATGTTAAGTACTCTTGGTTCATACTTTAATCGCTGTCCATACATCTCTCCCACAGATAATTCACTTCAAACTTAAACTTTGTTCACTGTTTTTGTCATTTCCAAACCACACCTTGATTGCAACCCTAACC